TTGGCGAGCGCTTTGCCTCTTATCCTCCAGGAGTTTTATTTTTTCTCCATCTGGTCTTCATTTCCCTTTCAGTGCATTTATCTGGCTCCTTCTCAGAGAGATCTAGTTTTTGTGGAGCGCTCCGGCTGCCTGCGTGCCTCCCTCTGTTCTACGGTTACACCATCAGCAGTGACTGACGCCTTTGTGTAAACATGAAGTCGCTGCTCGACCACTGCTATCAGTCATAGAGCCAAAGACTCACCTGAGGTCAGTTTGACCAGTGACACAGATCTGCCATAATGTCAAAAAGTAGAGTGATACACATAATCTTTTGAGTATCACTCACCTTTATACACTACACACAAGTTACAAATGACCCCTTTTCACCCGTTTTTGCACAACAGTTGAGGAACCTCCGTCAGATTTCTCCTTTCCTGTACCTAGATAGGCTATGTGCTAAGCTAATCTACGTTGAAAAGACAACCAACAGTTGAAGATGGTTAAAAGATGAAAACAACACATATAGACACATCTTAAGGTAGCCAAGTTAGCAAAACATTAGCTAAGTAGCTATCTAATCCACAGCAATCGTTAGCTAGCTGATATACATCAGTCGTTAGTTAGTTAGCTAACTTTTTGCCACCATTAGCTTTCAGATGTCATTGGAAATCAGGATACAAAAAAGTTAACTGTAATCCATTACAGTTACAGAAATTCTTTTAAAATGCATCTTTTTTGATGCTAAAACTCTTGGTTTCCATTTTCTTTTCTAAGGTTACATTGTTCTGTTACATAAAAGTCATCTTATTGGTTGGTTATTTCTTTCTTTATTTTATTATTATATTCTTATATAATCCAAAAAATGCAGTTGTCTTTTCAACATAGATTAGCCTAGCACATAGCATATCTAAGTACGGGAAAGGAGGATCCAGAAGTGACTGAGCACACATTCATCTGCGGAGAAAAAACACTTCCAGCTGTCACAAGGTGTAAAGGTTTGAGTCGAAGCAGGTTTCTTTAAGACTTTCCTTCAGACACTTTAAACAAGAACTCAAGTAAAAATCCCAAACATTACATGGCACTACATAATCATCTGTAGAGACTTTTACACTACGAGCTGAGTGACGCTCTCTGAGCCAGAGATCAGCCCGACTGTAAACTGTTTACGTTGCCGGGGCGGAAGACGGACATTTCTGCTCGTATGCCTACAAACTGACTCCTCCATCTGAGCAGAGAGGCTGCTACTCTGTGTTTACACTCTGTTTGAGAGATAACACACACACAGGCTGATTTATGATCCACTGTACATTACTATAACACCGCCCTCCCCCTCGTACGCTCTCCTCTGGCGCAGTGCAGGTTGGTTTGCACACGCAGGAGAGTGCAGAGCCAGTATTTGTCATGTAAATACGGTCACCTCAACTGCCATTCAAATGAATTTGCATTGAGGGTGAATGTAGGTCAGTCAGTCAGTAGGCCGTTTATGGCGAGGGGAGATTAGCGTAAGGGGTTTAATGAGCAACAGAGGGCAGGTGATGGAGATGTTTGTACAGGGAGGGGACCATGCAGACCTCCTCGACAGTAAAAGTGACTTCATCTTCCTTTTAAAGCCACTGTGAAGCAGCATTTAATTTGATGTATTTTTTGTTTTATACAGGATGTTTAGCCAGGATGTAACACAAGGGGGGGAAATGTGTAAACTGAGGCGACTGAATCTGATGGGGTTGGTTTCAAGGTGATTTTTCTTAACATTAATGGTTACATCTGGTGTTGTGTAGGACACATATTCTAATAGGTAATGCATATTCAAAATAGCTGCCACTAGATGCACTATGTCATATTGTTTAAGGACCATCTGCTAAAAACTACACTACTACTTCAGTAGGAGCTGAGAAGCACAGACAATAAGTCATTTTTGGTATTTTTGGGGTCTTTTTAGAGGATGTTTTTGATGAGAAAATATAGAATAACACCAACATTATCCTTAAAAAGAGATTCACACTATACATGTGCAGTAATCTGATAAAAACATGGCAACAAAACCTGAGTTAGTTGCATGGCATCAAGATAAAAGTGTGATCTTACGGCTTAAAAAGGTGGCTCCAGGTTTGTGTACATCTATCTGCAAATAAAATGGCAGTCCCCTACATCAGTGACTGTGTCTGAACACTGGCCTAATGCCACTACTGCTATGTGTGACTGTTGGAAACACTACCTCTGCTAACACAAATATTTGCCATGCATGTAATGACTGAAGTACATCTACCAGAGGTTTGATCTTTTCTTGTATTTATAATGTTAAAAGCTAGAGTGAGCGTCTCTGGAAAAACATACAATCAGTAAGAGAACAGAGGTCAGGTTCTCATTCAGCTCCACAACAAACCAACCTGCTCAGCTGAAACCTCGCCTCACCAGGGGGGGTTTATTGCTGATATTCTTTCCATGCCCTATACATTGGCATGGCTATTAACCTAATTATCGTTATTATGGCTGTAATTTAAGTTCTCCACTTCAGAGCGCTGAACATGGTTTCACCTCAGGCATGGCGGACCCTGTTACACAGAACCATTTAGGTTTTTTCCTCCTATTCATCTAAACTAAACAGTATTTGGAAACCTTTTGTGATTGACATCTATGATAGGTTAAAAGAGTCTTCTGTTTTTAATTTATCTGCTTGTTTTAGCAAAAGTTTAACACTTTGAACCTCCACTGTAGTATAATAAACTTGAATAGCACTTTTACTAGCTGCATAACAGGTAATAAAACAATAATAAATAGCTACAGATGTAAAGAAAATATCTGGCTTTGGTAAAACAAAATAAACAGGTATTAAAGCTGCAAGCAGCGATGGTCGGGTTGATGTGTAAATCAGATTGATGTTGCCAGACAAGCCTTACTTCTTGTTTCCAGTAGGTGGCGCTTCCTGTTGAATGTTATTTGAATAAGTTTGGTGTAAATTAGACAAAGTACCCTGAAGTTATTCCAACTTACTGTTTCATGGCGATACGTTCGAATTTGACGCCAAGCCACGGGTACGCCAGTCGAGTCACAAATATAGCTTTTAATCGTGATAGTGTTTAGATCGGACTGACCAAATATGAAATTGATCAGATCTATTCCCTAAGAGGAATTTGTTCAAATACAATGCTTGCAAATAGCCAAAAATTGGTTCAAGAGGCTTTTTTTTTGTCATGATACACGTGCGTTTAGAGGCCGCTGTCAAGCAATTTTTTCACACCTATATCGTCTGTACATTTCCTCCACCATTGAATTTTGTGCCACGTTTCATGCGTTTTCTTATCTTATCTTTTATCTTATCTTTTATCTTGTTTTTAATTTTAGTTTAATGTATGTTTAATGTATGTTTAATGTATGTTTTGTATTTTGTATGCTACTGGATACTTGAATTTCCCTCGGGATAAATAAAGTATCTATCTATCTATCTATCTATCTATCT